TTCCATTCAATATATTTTTTAACCTGAAATTAGGCCTTAGAATCACAGCTAAAGGGCTGGGAAGGTGGCTCAGTGGTAGAGCGCTTGCCTTGCATGCCTGAGGCCCTGGGTTCGATTCCTCAGCACCACATAAGCAAAAAGAAAAAAAGAAGTGGCACTGTGGCTCAAGTGGTAGAGCGCTAGCCTTGAGCTGAAGAGCTGAGGGACAGCACCCAGGCCCAGAGTTCAGGCCCCACAACCGGACCCAAAAAAAAAAAAAAAGAATCACAGCTTATTTCAGGATTGCTAGACAACTGTAGAGAATCCAAGGATAACACAGAATTCTATAAAATATTGTCTTCTGGCCTGCTGTGCAGATAAGAGTTCAAAATGCAAAATGGGAAAAAATTGATTTACTACTACTAATAAAGAGCTCTCAATGTTTCAGACATGACTAAAACAATGACAAAATTAAATAGTACTGAAACTCAGAGAAACTGTTTAGCCTTAAGTTTGCTAAAGTTTCTTATGTTCAGGAATTTATAAGCTCTAGACTAATATATACCCTTTATACTAAAAATGAGTGCCTGAATATTAAAGGTTACGCCTCCTTCACTTAAAATGAATGATACAATTGGAATAAAAAAATGGCTTACAACTGACCAAGAAATAAATATGGTTTTATTATGTTAATGACAGAAAATTAAGAAAATGTATTCAAAACTGGTGATGAGTCAAGGAACACAGAATACAATCAAGATGGTTTAATCAAGAGGAAAATACACTGAAGAAAACACTACTTCAATTGTCAATCAATCCTTTTTTCAATCTTTTTTTCACAAAGGCAGAAATGTTATATTGGCCTACAAACCATAAAGTAAGGTATCGCTAAACTTACTTCAAAAGCAGGTAAATTCCTTGCTAAGCTGCATTTTCCTAGGTACTTATTAAGATGAGCATTCTTTCAATTTTCATAAAACTACCATGTACAATATAGCTTAGCTGACATAGTATGGGCTACTACGATTAATATTCTCTACTGACTGAGGGAGTATCATATAAAGCTTTAAAAGATCTCTATTAAAAAATAGCCAAAATTATCTAACAACTTTAATGCTATATTCTTAATCTATAGGTTGATTTTTAAGGGCACACTGTCATTTCTTGGTTCCATTTAAAGCAATTAAGAAATATGAAGCCCTAAAAACACTTTTATTACTTATTTTCTAATTCCACATCCTAAGGCTAGAGGAATAGTTCACTGGTACATTGTCTAGCATGCGTGTTGCCCAGGCAACACACACACACACACACACACACTCCTCAGATTTAATTCCTCTAACTTGCACTTTCCAGGCATTTCTGGAATCAGGACCAGAGATTTATTATAGTAATTCAATTGTGCTTGCTTAAAGATAGTTTAGTAATTAATTCAGCCTAGTCAAAATGATCACAATCTATATGAGGGCACTGGTTTCCTTCAACTATCACATAAATAATTCTCAAAACATTTCATATTTTTCTGTGGGGCTTAGTTCTTTCCCACTACCAAATGGAGTATGTTCAGGGAAGACAAATTATCTCTTTTCTATTAATGCTAATAACTAAAACAGAAAGGTACTTACAAAATGTAATGAATCTTAAACCTAAGAGAAAATAAGAAACTAATAATTAGTATCTACTTATGATTCCTCCCACCTGAAAATCTTTATATTTGCTTTCCAACATTTTTTTAGAATAACATAGGGAATTATTTAGCTTCCCATATAACAAATTACAGATTAAACTTGAGGCAAAGAAGGTTATGTGACTTACCCAAGATTATAATTAGAGACCAGGTCTCCTGAGTCTCAGCCCAGTGCTCTTTTCCTTAGCCCATGATGCCTTATCAGAAAAATCCAAATACAGTCAGACCCCCAGTTACATGGGTATGAGTTACACTGATTCACATATACAAACTTTATATAGTGTGACCAATGTTTCAACTCACGCGGTACCCTGCTTCCATTTATGCAGTATGCCAGGCATCGGCACGATTTTCAGTGGCACACAGGCGGTTGCCACCACCAGGGCCCTAGGCAAAATTGCAAAGAAGGCAAAGTTTGTCTTTGGCCCTCCCACCTCCCTTATGCATTCTTCTCCCACCTCCTGGTCATCCCCCCCTTCCCAACCTCCCAGCACCATGATGTTGCCCTCTGATTGTCCATAGCCCCCCACTTCTACCACTCACCCAGGACTGATCTTTCTGGTAGTGCCCAGTGATTTAAAAATTACCTCTCCATTTCCCTGCCACCATAATTCCTATTTTTGAGGACTCCAATGAGGTTTAGGTATCTACATGATTAGCTGACGTAAGTAATTCAATATAAGGCACATTTAAATAACACTTAAATCTCCAAGGATTAATTTAAAAGGGACTTAAATAAAATCTGTTGGGAAGGGAAAGAGAAGGAATATTATTGAAGAGGGAGTAACAATTTCCCAGTGCTCCAGGATTCCTGTACCACCTCAGACTCTTTCACAAATAGAACACTGAAAGTTGAGAGAACCATTACCACCTTGAGCCTTACTACCCAAAGAGAGAATGGTTGCTTTAGTCTTTGGAATTAAAACAAAAACTAGAGCTTCTTTTAATACCCCCCCACCTACCTTTTCCATCTCTTTCCCACCTCGAGTCCCTCATTTCCAACTCTTAGTGCCAAAGACACCCTAACATCTTTCCCCAAAAGCTGCTCTTGTGTCCAATACAAGGCTTCCCATTATATGGTTTCAAATTACATAGGGTTTTCAATGATGTATCCATATTCACCTATCTCTGGATAACTTGAAATTGGCTGTATGCTAAAAAAGAATATCCTAATTATTTAAAGGCTCTGAATTATGAAATAAAATATGTAAGTTCATTAAGTCTCCAGTAAGAAGGAATGTTCTGATTCTTTTCTCATGTACATAAAAGAACTTGAATATCTAAAAAAATTCCATTATTTTCCTTGAAAGTGACGTTTCTTATCAATACAGCAGTCAAAAACTAATCATTTCAACTGAACACTAGTCTAAACTCATAAAAGTTCATTCATAAATCCTTGAGGTTTGAAGGCCAAAATTAAAAAATAACAATCCAGTAACAGAGACAAAAAAATACAAATTCTAATTCAGCTTTCTACTGGACTGAGACATATATATACACATATATATACACACACACATATATATATGTAGATATGCATTCAGCTTTGCAATGCTAAAGTTGCCTAGTTCAGAAATTTACCAGGTGACAGTGACCTTAATCCAACAACCCACCCAAAACAGTTAAGAACAAACAATGTATACAGAAGAAATTAAAAATGGCATCATCAAGGATTAAAAGAATCACATAAAATAAGCCTTAAGTGGCTTCTATAATTTCATTACAACATTGTTCTGTTAAGATCCTGGATAAAGCCCTTTCCCAATACCCTCTCCTCCCATGATAGAAGGGAACAATATTAAGACAAGCTGCAGGTATGAAGTAACCATCCTTATCTAAATGTAAAAATGGTAAAAGATTTTCCATTGGCCATTTGTGTGTGTATGTGTTTCTGTGTGTGTGTGTGTGTGTGTGTGTGTGGTACTGGAGACGGAACCCTGGGGCTTGACTGTGTTAGGCAAGAGCTCTACCACTGTACTACATCCCCAGCCTTCCATTGACATTTTTAATCAATGTTAACTTTCAAGGGTTTACTATAAAAATAGAACTTCTTTTCTTCCAAGTCTTTCCCTCCTCCACACACAACAACAAACAGGTTTGCCATCTACAATGAAAAGTTCCCAAGCAGGGTTTTTGTTGAACATGAACCATTAACACTGAAATGTCATTGTAAGTATGCATTTCTAAAAAGAATTGGCTGAAATGGGGTTTCTATTCACATACTTTATTGTAAAGTACTCAAATAAAGACCAACTCTTATCATCTAAATTTAAGACTGTCATCTCCTAAGCCAAAAAAAAAAATTCAAAGAAGTTGTTGAGAAAAAAAAGTATTTAAATGGCTAAGAAATTGTCTGAATAAGCAACACAGATCAAAGATTGTGCTTTGTTTTTAAGTACTTAACTAGACCTTTCCCTCCATGTTAGTATTGATTTGATTTGAAATTAACGCCCCAAAATAACACATCTATTATGCCATTTAGAAATTCTCTTCACAACATAATTCAGCATGTAGTAGCTTTCCATACAGATTCTAACCTAAGTACCTAAAAAGCCTCGTTTGCCTCAATTCTAGTTTGCTAGACATCAAATTTCCAAAATGGTTCTGTCTGGGGAACAAGTACGACTTGTCATTATTTGCTGAACAAAGCCTCTATTAAACTGTCTAACAAAATGGAGGTCTCTCGGAAAAACAGGCCCTAACATTTTTATTTCCACAAAATGGGGCCAAACACACCCACTTCAAGAAACCATGGTTTGGGTCAGATTTTCCACCAAAATGGTAGACGGTGTGAGATACGACTGAGCATCTCTAGGATACGGTTAGAAGCAAAGCTTTCCTCCACACCCAGGAAGGTTGGAGAGGGGGAGGGGTCCCTTCCGGATTCTCTGGGGGACTGTCGCGAGGGAGGATTCCAAAGATTCGCGTTAAGGAACTAAATCCGGGTGCAGAGTTTGCAATCTGCACGTACCTAATCAGCGACAAAACGGGCCGCCAGACTACGCGAGAGAGACGTGGGCCTAGCCATCCAGGCCAAGTCAACATTAAAAGCACAAACTCTCCTTTCAGCCCCCAGGCCCCGCCTCGCCCCATTGGCAGCAGTTCCCGCCAATCCGAGTAGTCGCCGCCCTCAAACCCGCCTGCCAAGCCCTGATTGGACGAGACAGGAGCCCCGGACCTCGTGTTACCAATCTACGAGCCCCTTACTCGCCACAGGCGCGCGCCCCGTTGGGCCCTCAGACCCGTTCCGTCGTCGTCGTCGTCGTCGACGCCGCCGCCGCCACCGGCCCCATCCATCCCCTCCCCCACCCCCGGGGCTCTGGCAGAGACTTACCGTCCCGGGAGGTGCCCATCAACTGGTCCAGCATAGCGCGCATCTGGGCCTGCGCCGACATGGCGGCGGCGTAGCGGGAGGACGGGCGGGGGTGGGGCGCAAACCGGGCCCTGCCGGGCGGGGAGGGGAAGGGGGAGTAGGGCTGGGGGAGGTGCGATGCGGTCTCGGTGGCCGCCGCCGCCTCAAGGCGTGCTGAAGGGGAGCCGAAGGGGTCGCGGGAGAGTCCGGGCTGCGCTCCTCACGAAGACCGTGTACGTGGAAAATGGCAGCCCCCGAAAGCCACCCTCGCGCCCTCGCTCTCCGTCCGGTTCCCGGGACAGGAGCGACACGGGATAAGCAAGCTCTTGCGTCCAACACCGCCACCCTCCAGAAGCCGTCAGCCCCCCCTCCAAACTCTGACGCCGCTCGCCACCACGGTCGCCGCGGCGGGAGCGCGCACGCTCTTTGCGCTGCGTCGTTTCCCGCGGGGCCTCCACCAACAGGCGTCCAACTGTCTCCGCTCCGCCCGCCCCGCCAGGGAGGGTTCCACCCTAACGGCTCTCGAGCTCGTGCACGCGTGCGGCGTCCGCCCCTGCCCCCAGATCTCGCGAGAATACGTTCTTCAACCGTCACCGGAGCGAGATCTGCCCCTAGGCGCTAAACGCTGCTGTCAGAGCTGCCCCGAGCCTTGAGCCGCGCGGCGCGTTACGCAGGGGGGGGGGACAGGGGAGGGGGGACATCCTAATTATCAAAATGCCCGAGGTTAGCCCGAGTCGGTGCCCGACGGTGCGGGCGGCTCGCAGTGTTGGTAGCCCGCTGGGGTGTATTCCTCCTCGCTGACGAACCGACTGGTTTCGGGGCCTCCTGCGGCGGCGGCGGCGCCCGGGGCGGGGCGTCTGGTCCCCAAGTTACACCCGGGCTTGGCTGACCGGGGCAGGGCCCCAATCCGGTCCGATCCATTGTTGCCTGTTGGAACGGGGTGAAGGTATGAGTCCATCTTGGCGCCTGTGAAAAGTCACCAGCGTTCTCGGAACTCCTGGACACTGGCCGCAGGGTGGCCATCGCTCAGTGCTCCAAACCTGGGGACCTTCGGTTGATTGACTCCTACGGCCACCAGAGATAAACCTGCAGCCCTTACAGGCAGGTTTGTGAGGGCAAAATACCTAGGCCAGAGACCTGGCCTGGTGTTTTACAGAACTGTGGTAAATACGAGTTACCCTAAGATGTAGCCCAGCCGGGTGCTAGTGGCTGTCGTCTGTAAATCTGTCTACTCAGGAAGCTGAGATAGGATCAGGGTTCGAAGTCAGCGGGGCAGAAAAGTTCTAGAGACCATTTCCAGTTACCCACCAAAAAGCAAGAAGTCGAGAGCTGTGGCTTGGTAGAGCAACGGCCTCCAGTGAAAACTCCAAGCAAAAGTATGAGGCCTTGAGTTCAAGGTTCAGTCCCAACACCCAAAAAGAAAGCATTTTCTATAGTAGCACTTTCTATAGTAGGATTCTTTGTCTAATAATTGTATGTGCATTAGGACTTATAATTCCTAGCTAACACAAAGGAATAAAAAGATAACATGAATCTGGGTACCAGTGGCTCATGCCTATCATCCTAGCTACTCAAGAGATTGAGCTCCGAGGATCACAATTAGAAGCTAGCCCTAGCAGGAAGTCCATGAGACTCTTATACTTCCAGTTAACCACCAAAAAGCCAGAAGTGGAACTATGGCTCAAGTGGTAGAGCACTAGCCTTGGGCAAAAAAAAAAAGCTAAATGACAGCACCCAGGCTCTGAGTTCAAGCCCTAGTACTGGCACACATACACAAAGTTAACGAAAAACAATCATAGTTCCAAGAAATTTTGTTTTCGTCGCAGAGCTTGAATTCTGGTCGTGGGCCCTGTCCCTCAGCTCTTCAGCTCAAGGCTAGGGCTCTACTACTGGAGTCACAGCACTACTTCCAGCTTTTCTGTTTATGTGGTGCTGAGGAATCAAGCCCAAGGGCCTCATGCATGTGAAGCAAGCACTCAACCAGAGCCACCTTCCCAGACCCCCAAGATATTTTTTTAATGCATACTGGATAAATAAAAATTTAGCCATGAAAGATTAAAAAAATTCTTTGGTGTCTTTAAGAACTCAAGATTAGGCTGAGAATGTGATCCTAGTAGTAGAGTGCTTGCATAGCATGCATGAAGCCCTGGGTTCAATTTCTCAGTACCACATAAACAGAAAAAGCCAGAAGTGACACTGTGGCTCAACTGGTAGAGTGCTATCCTTGAGCAAATGAAGCTCAGGGACAGTGCCCAGGCCCTGAGTTCAAGTCCTAAGACTGACAAAAAAAACCCTCAAAATTATAAACAATTCCTAATACTAGGAACATCATTTGAAACTTGACAATAGAAAATATATAAATTATGTCCTCCCAAAATGTAGAACTAATATATATGGTATTCTAGAAACAGTATTAGAGGTACACAAAACACTGATCGTTTTAGTGAAGAGATCTTATCATTCTACATTTCTAGTTAATTTTTATATTTACCTTTCTGGCTTATATTTCAGATGTATCTCCTAAAAATAGCTGGGTTATTTAAATAGTTTGCTGTCTTTTTCTTGTGTTGGTAGTGCTGGTAATACACCCAGTGTCTCCTGCATGCTTAACAAGCACTCTTACCACTGAACTACATCCATAGCCAATACTTTTTTTTTTGTCCATCATGGGGCTTGAACTCAGGGCATAAGCACTGTTCTTGAGCACCTTTGCTCAAGGATAGTACTCTACCAATGTGAGCCACCCCTCCACTTCCCAACATATATATTTTTTTCTGGGGGGGGGGTTGTTAATTGGAGATAAGAGTCTCTGGGATTGTCCTGCCTGGGCTGGCTTCAAACTTCCATCTTCAGATCTCAGCTTCCCAAGTCATTACAGATGTGAGCCACCTGCACCCTGCTGGAAGTGGGTTTTTTCCTCGTTTTGTTTGTTCCTCTTGGGGCTTGAACCCAGGACCTGGGAGCTGTCCCTGAGCTGCGTTTTGCTCACAGCACTCTACCACTTGAGTCACAGCTTCACTTCTGGTTTTTTGGTTAATGTATTTTAAAATAAGAGTCACATGCCGGGCGCTCACACCTGTAATCCTAGCTACTCAGGAGGCTGAGATCTGAGGATCACGGTTCAAAGCCAGCCCGGGCAGGAGAGTCCGTGAGACTCTTATCTCCAATAAACCACCAGAAAACCGGAAGTGGCCCTGTAGCTCAAGTGGTAGAGCGCTCACCTTGAGCTGAAGAGCTGAGGGACAGCGCCCAGGCCCAGAGTTCAAGCCCCACGGCCGACCAAAAAAAAAAAAGTCACATACTTTCCTGCCCTGGGCTGTTTTCAAACTCTGATCCTCAGATCTTAGCCTCCTAAGTAGTTAGGATTACAGGCACAAACTACCAGTACTAAGCTGGTAGTTTTTGCTTTGTTTTGTTTTGTTTTGCTGATTTTTGTTGGTTGTAAGGTTTGAACTCAGGGCCTGGGTGCTGTCCCTGAGCTTCTTTATGCTCAAGGCTAGCGCTCTTTGGGCTGGGGAGGTGCTCAGTGGTAGAGTGCTTGCCTTACATGCATGAGGCCCTGGGTTCGATTCCTCAGTACCACATATGCAGAAAAAGCCGGATATGATGCTGTGGCTCAAGTGGTAGAGTGCTAGCCTTGAGCTGAAGAGCTGAGGGACAGCACCTAGGCCCAGAGTTCAGGCCCCATGACTGGCAAAAAAAAAAAAAAAAGTAAAAGCCTAGCGCTCTACACTTGAGCCACAGTTCCACTTTGAGTTTTTGAGTGGATAACTGGAGGTAAGAGCCTCATAGGGACTTTTCTGCCAGGGCTGGCTTTGAACCAAGATCATCAGATCTTAGCCTCCTAAGTAGCCAGGATTACAGTTATGAGCCACCAACGCCCAGCTAGTAATTTTTATTAGGCACATAGCTTACCTTTTACTTTCCACTATCCCCAAAAAGTTCTCAGTTTGTCTGTCCTTGAAGGTGGTTGGCTAACCAGTTGGCTACTGGCTTTGCAGCTTTTGGTTTCTCCAATTTTTAATATATTTGGTTATAGATTTATTTTTATTTTGCTGCAGCTCACTGATTGACTTCAGATACTGTCCTCAACTTCAGGATTTTTTTTTAAAGTCTATATTTTGTATATCACTTTACTTTCACTTTTCCACTTTCTACCTTATCTTGCAAATTTGCCTTCGTGGGATATTTGTTTTGTTTTTGTTTTTCTTTTTCTTTTTTTTTTTCAGTATTAGGGCCTGAACTCGGCCTGGGCACTGTCCCTCAGCTCTTCACCTCCAGGCTAGTGCTCTTCCACTCAAGCCATAGCACCACTTCTGGCTGAGGAATAGAACCCAGGGCCTCATGCATGCAGGGCAAGCACTCTACCACTGAGCCACCTTCCCAGCCCCTTGTTTTGTTTTTCTAACATATTTGTTGTTCATCAGTCTCCTTCCAGTTGTATCTAATCTATTGTTAAATCTATCAGCAGAATTCTTAGTTCTAGATTTCCTATCACATTCTTTTTCTAATATATTACTTTTTAGTTTGATCACCAGCTGAAGTTACTAAGATTGGCCTTCCCAGCCATCTTGTTTAATAATCTTGTTTGTGGGGCTGGGAAGGTGGCTCAGTGGTAGAGCGCTTGCCTTGCATGCATGAGGCCCTGGTTTGATTCCTCAGTACCACATAAGCAGAAAAGGGCAGGTGGCACTGTGGCTCAAGTGATAGAGCACTAGCCTTGAGCTGAAGAGTTGAGGGACAGCACACAGGCCCAGAGTTCAGGCCCCATGACCAATAAAAATAATAAGAATAGGGCAGGGAAGGTGGCTCAGTGGTAGAGCACTTGCCTTGCATGCATGAGGCCCTGGGTTCTGTTCCTCAGCACCACATAAGTAGAAAAAAAAAGCCGGAAGTGGCGCTGTGGTTCAAGTGGTAGAGCGCTAGCCTTGAGCTGAAGAGCTGAGGGACAGCGCCCAGGCCCAGAGTTCAAGCCCCACAACCGAACCCCCCCCCCAAAAAAAATAAGAATAATCTTGAGTTTGCCAGCTCTAATGTGTGAAGTTTATATCTGTTGTCCATTATTTCTCCTGGTTTTATTATGTGAGATCATTTTTGGTTTATCTGGACACTTTGTGCACTAAACATCTACTTGAAAAAAATATGTACAGGATAGTATAAACTAAATATAAAATATCTATCTATTCTAAGTGGTTTTTATCTTCCTCTACTAAGTAATTAATAATTAAGGACAATTGCACTAGTTTTAAAGCATCAATTTCTTGACCACCAGAATATAAAACTGTAGGCTAAAGATTTGGCAGGTAGCCGGGCGCTGGTGGCTCACGCCTGTAATCCTAGCTACTCAGGAGGCTGAGATCTGAGGATCGTGGTTCAAAGCCAGCCCGGGCAGGAGAGACCCTGAGACTCCTATCTCCAATAAACCACCAGAAAACCGGAAGTGGCGCTGTAGCTCAAGTGGT